CTGTGACTTGACTTGACTCAGGAAGATCAGCTGTGACTTGACTTGACTCATGACGATCAACTGTGATTTGACTTGTCTCATGAAGATCAACTGTGACTTGACTTGATTCAGGATTGGCAGCTGTGACATAACTGGGCGCTGTTGTGTCCGCCATTTTGCGATCAGGCTCTGCTGTTGCCGCCATTTTGTGAGCGCGCTGTAGTGCGGCCGCCATTACACGAGTGAGTGCGGGGTCGCATTCCTCCGCGACACCCACAGTGAACAATCAACCAACAGTCAACAAAGCATAATCCATAAATTGAACGAGAGATGAACGGGGACCCTCACGGATTAAACGTGATTTGAGCGGTTGGTTAATGCCCTCACAAAAAAAAAATTTATGAGCACACAGTCAGGCAAATCAGAATAATTAGCGACCTCTAAATACTCTTGAATATAGCTCTTGCGGTGTCCATACCTGGCCAGTGTCCAGTAGAAAAGCTGCTGGATCCTTGTGTGGCCGAGTATTCTGTTACGGGGCGAACGAGACGTGCGGATCCTTGTGCAAGGCTTTATTTACAAAGGCATGGTCAATAAACAGACAAGGGTCAGATAACACAGGTATATCACAGGCAAGACAAAGAATATTCCTAGGGCTAGCGTGGGTCTTCGATCGGCGAACAGTATCCAGAGGGCTTGACAAGAGGGGTAATCCAATAACACGAGCAATAGCCCAAGAAACAGACAGAAGGTCAGGAAACAGACAACAATGCAACACGAAGTGGCTAGACTAAGACTAGAACTAGAACTGGGAACTAGGACCGGGAACTAGGAATGGCTCCGTAATGCACCTATCGCTAGAAGAGTGATATGCACTAAACAATACTCAGCAGTTTGAGAAGGATCTGAGTGAGTGTAATATAGTGTGTGTGTGTGTGTGATTGGTTACAGCTGTGTGCAATCATTGCAATGGATGATGGGAAATGTAGTCCGTGGTGACGTGTAACAGTCTCTGTAGTGAGAGAGTCAATATGATGGACAAGTGACCTCTGGTGGTGATCGGACGGAAGTCCATGGACAGGATTCGTAACAGTTATTGACAACAATTTTCACTGAGACAAAGCACTACAATAAACTACAAAAACTGCACATTAAATCTACAGGTAAAAGTATCAGCTAATAATTTACATTTTGGCTTATTCTTTACTAAATGATACACACACAAGGTTGAGGGGATATATTACTTAAAAAAAACATTTTACTGTAATATTGAAAACATCTGGAAATTGAATCACTGCAACAAATATATTGTAAGAGAACAGTTCTATGCATGTTTGCACTTGATGCATTTGCTTTAAAAAAATCTTGCTCTCCGTCTTCAGATTCAACTGGAAAGGACACAGGCAGAAATAAAGGTGATGATCCAGGACAGATGTAATAAGATTAAGGAGATAAAAAAAACTTAGAAAAGTCCAGCAAGGTGTGTTGTTAGTGACAAGTCAACATATTTTTTAAATACAACTATCTACTAGAGGTGGTGGAAAGAATGATTTGGAATCTGACTGGAAACTTCAGTGTCTATTATTCTTCTCAACATAGCCAGAGCACCAATGAGAGAAATAAAGCAAATAAAGCTGAGCTGTTCACTGATCTGTTGCACGCCATTGAGAGATGTCATTCTGAGCTGCTGGAGGTGATGGAACAGAAGCAGAAAACAGCAGAGAAGCAGGCTGAGGAGCTCATTAAAGAGCTGGGGCAGGAAATCACGGAGCTAAAGAGGAGAGACACTTAGCTTGAGATGCTCTCACACACTGAAGATCACCTGCACTTCCTACAAGTGTCACGGAATACTCCAAAACAAGATCAAAGTGCAGCATTTATTAAAGAGTCCAAAAACAACAAGTCAGTGTTCCTTGCTCAGCTATATCTCTTAGAATGCTTTATTCAGACCAAACCACATGTTTAGTGATCTCCTTTCTCTTGCAATACTGCAGACTTGAACGTCTGTAAGCGGCCCCCCACAAGTCAAGTCCTGGACCAGCAACATTACTGATATGAACATAGATCTGAACACAGAAACCTTGGACAAAGCTCTCCAGAACCTTCAGGAAAACATCAAAATGGAACTGAAGAAATTCTTTGAAATCAGTAAGTATTAAAGGGGTCATATGATGCGATTTCAATTTTTCCTTTATAAGTCATTATAATCCATAATTATGTCCCCACTGGATGCAACGAATGCCTCGTTTATAATGGGTTTTCATGTTTTTGAATCATCGCTCCGGCCTGACAGGGCATCATCACAGTATGGTGAGGGGCGTAACATTTCCGTCACACGCTTGAGGTATTCGGCCAATCATAACACACTGGATAGCTGGCCAATCACAGCACACCTTGCTTTTCAGACCGATGAGCTTTGTAAAAATCAACGCGTTTCAGAGAGGCGGGGCATAGAGGAGAAACAATAATGTACAGTATGTGGAAAATAATGTGTTTTTTTAACCTTAAACCGCATAAACACATTTCATTACACCAAATACACAAAATAATGTTCTTTTTAGCAACATCATATGACCCCTTTAAGAAATTATTAAGGAATTTAGGAATATAATGAACGTACATATGAGCAGTATCACAAGGCACAACACCATAATCACAGTCATGCTGTGCATCTCAGTTTAACAGATAAGCCCAAGCCTCCATTACAAATTTGAAAACGTCATATATACTGTAGAACTAGTAACAAATGAACATTGAGTTGCTTCATTGAAGTTAAAAGCAATTGTATTATGTAGAGTATTATGAGAGAGAGATTGACAGAGCGAGTGTGATCACCTACATTTCATTTATTATGAAAATTATTTTGACTGTCTGCAAAGGAAGGGTGCTGACTGATGCTGAGAAAAGGTATGCCCAGATCGAAAAAGAGTGCCTGGCGGCTGTGTGGTCCTGTGAAAAATGTTCACGGTTTCTGTATGGATTGGAGAGTTTTGTCCTGCAAACCGACCATAAACCACTCATCCCGTTGATAAAAGCCAAGGATCTCGATTCAGTTCCCCTGAGATGTCAAAGATTGTTACTGCGAATAATGCAATACAATCCTGTTGCACAATACATAGCCTACCCGGCAAACAACTGGTGGTCGCCGATACGCTGTCACGACACCCTCAGCCCACCATTTCGACAGAGGTTTCCAAACTAGTGCAAGAAGTAGAGACTTATGAGAATACAGTCAGCGATGTGTGGCCAATCTCCCAAACAGAGATGGAGTCTGTGAAAAGAAAAACAGAGTTGGATTTCGAGCTACAAATGGTGAGGAAATATGTGACTAATGGCTGGCCCAGGTATGCAGCTAATGTCCCTCAAGCCTTGAAATCATACTACAGTACACGTCATCACCTGTCAATTTTCCAGGACCTAATGCTGTATGACGACAGGATCATAATTCCCCGAAAGATGAGGTCCGATATACTCCAAAGGCTGCACAGTGGTCACCAAGGCATTTTGAAATGTAGGGAGAGAGCCAAATGTAGTGTGTGGTGGCCAGGCTTAAGTAAAGAAATCCAGCAGCTCATTAACAACTGCAAGGACTGTCTGGAATCAAGACCAGACAGTTTTTGGAACGACAATACAATCTACTGCCACCTACAGGTATGGAAAGGTATATCCTCTCACGCAGGCGCAGAACGCATGTTCTAGTTTGCAGTCGGCTGTCGTCTGTTTGGTGTGTTCAAGCGCAGCTTTTTGGCCCAGACGGGCCCAGATGCAGCCGACGAGAGGCGACAACACAGTCGGCTTTTGTCGGCGCTAGATGGTTGACGTCGGCTTGGTGTGTCCCGGGCTTTACCCTAAACTCATCCTGTCTAAAGACGGAAAACAAGTGAAGCATGGTGGATCCTGGAGAGATGTTCCCAATAACCCTGAGAGATTTGACTCCTCTGCCTGTGTCCTGGGAAAGGATGGGTTTTCTTGTGGGAAATTTTATTATGAGGTTGAAGTCGGTGAAAAAACTGAATGGGACTTGGTGTGGCTAGATAGTCCATTAAGAGAAAGGGAAAATAACAGTGTGCCCAGAGAATGGGTTTTGGTGTATTTGGCTAAGAAATGGTAGTGAATATGTGGCTAATGAATCTTGTCCTGTTTCTATTTCCCTAAAAGACAAGCCCCAGAAGGTGGGGGTGTTTGTGGATTATGAGGGGGGTCTGGTCTCCTTCTACAATGTGGGGACCAAGGCTCTTATCTACTCCTTCACTGGCCAGTCTTTCACCGAGAAAATCTATCCATTTTTCAGCCCTTGCGACAAAAGAAGAGATGAGAACACAAAGCCTCTGATCATATCTACTACTAGTTAGTGCAATTATTAAACAATCCTTTTAAAAAAGTTAATGCAACAAATAAATGCCAGGGGTTACACATCGCCCCAGATTGAACCTCTAACCTTTCTCAGAGCCCCCAGATCTTAGCTAGATCCACATATTTTAATCAGGGTGTCCGCGGGTCTTAAAAAAGTCTTAAATTTAGTTGTATCAAATTTAAGGCCTTAAAAAGTCTTAAATTGTACAAGAAAGTCTTAATTATGATTTCAAGAGGCCTTAAATTTGGGGACGGAAAGACCAGAATTGCGATATGGATGAATGTGACGATTAACTTCAAAAGGCTAACGTTATGATTTCATGAAATAAACATGAGCCCTGCCCGTTCAAAGTCCGGTGCTGCCCTGCTTTGTGTTCTGCCGTTACCGGGGGAACAGTTATATTTCTACCAAACGCTCCACCTGCTGTCAGAGAATGAATGAGCATTTTCCTTTCTGGATTACAATCCGCCATCAAAATGATACATTTAATTATTCTGGCTGCTGTGAGAAAAGGCTATAAACGATCGACCACCTGCAGGATCCTCACATGCGATAGCCTACTAGCCGGGACAACTTCTTTATGTTTACAGAAGTGACGTAATGACGCACTGCCATGCTCGAATTTCCCGCGAAAGCCTACCCCTACCACTCAAATTAGAAAACATTATTATAAGCTAACCCTTGTGAATCGGGCTAAAGTAAGCCGATAGTTTTGAACACTGGCTGGTTATGTACTTGCTCAAATATTGATTTCGGATCATTTTTAACCAAAAAAAGTTACGGACTGCAGCTTTAAATGATTCGGTTCAATCGCAATGACTCAGCTTAACAGTGACTTGCTGCCACCTACTGGCTGTTTTAATTTCACATTTAAGGTACCTTTTCATTTTTTAAATAATTTCAAACATCAGTTTTTAATGTTTTATGTTTAAAATATCAAAACATTATTTATGCATTTGTAACTGCAGGTTAAAGTATTTAATGTCCCTCAGAGCTGCATTAAACAGTGTGTAAATGCATCTAAATGACACTTCTAAGGCAGCTTCTGTGATTCCTCTGCATTGCAAAGATCAGTTTTGTTGATACTGATTTCATTTGCTTGGTAACAGCCCAAATGCAATAATTTGATTCAAAAGATGGTGCACACTTTTAGAAAAAAATGTCTTAAAGATAAAAATGCCCATAAAACTTCTAATTTCTTTCAATGCTGTGAACTGACCACACAGAATATGAAGAATATCAAAAAATTCAGGAGTCAGCTGTCAGCACAATTAGAGATAATGTATCAGCACAATAACACACTCAGCAAAATATTGTCTAATTATCGTTATCGATAAAATCCCAGAAAATTATCGAGATATAATTTTTTTGTCAATATTGCACACCCCTAATTTATGTTATTTAATTGATATAATAATTTATTGATAATAATTGTTTAAATTAATATGACAATTATCATTTTATAAAACTTTTTTTGGGGGGGGAAACTTGTATCTGAACTGTAAGTTATGCTTTTTACAGTAATTTTACAGCTTAATATGGTACTATAGACATTGCCCTAACCTGCTCATGTGGTATTCATTTTATTTGTGCAGGTCTTAAAAAGGTCTTGAATTTGAGCTTAAAAATCCTGCAGAAACCCTGTTTAATGTTTGATGGATTAGGCTTACTATAGGTACTTTTATGACTTTTTATCATATTTTTATGTTACACAATGGTAGTTCTATGGTTGCATAACTATTGATAAACTATTAGCTACATATTGCACTTTTACAGTACAGAGATTTTTATGAAATATTGCACTATTCTAATAAGGGAATTGATGTGGTAGTTTTGCGTTTCTTCTGCTTGTATTATTTTCATCTTTGGGAAAAAAAGCATGAATAAATATAAAGGTGGTGGATTTGGTTCTGTTGCCTACCGCAGGGCTTCCCAAACTGGGATTCACGGGGGAATTTTAGGGGTTTCGTGAGTTGATGAAAAGCTATTAATTAAATAATTATTATTATAAATTAAATCATAACATTTAAATAAATTAATAAATAATTTTAAAAAATTAATAAATAACTGTGTTTGAAAAGTAATCCCGAGGCAAAATTTTAGATAAGTGGTTTTCAGTCTTGATCCTGGTGACCCTGGAGCTCTTTTGAAGAGTTGATATGAATCGTGTGTTAATAAAGAAGACATACAGAATATGCAATTGTGGTTAAAAATAACTAGGATTTAAAAAAAAAAAACTTGAACAATTGAACAGTTCACGTAAACGGATTAA